GACTAAATAGTAGGGTGAAATATGTTGTAGTATGATCTGTTCTTGACTAAATAGTAGGGTGAAATATGTTGTAGTATGATCTGTTCTTGACTAAATAGTAGGGTGAAATATGTTGTAGTATGATCTGTTCTTGACTAAATAGTAGGGTGAAATATGTTGTAGTATGATCTGTTCTTGACTAAATAGTAGGGTGAAATATGTTGTAGTATGATCTGTTCTTGACTAAATAGTAGGGTGAAATATGTTGTAGTATGATCTGTTCTTGACTAAATAGTAGGGTGAAATATGTTGTAGTATGATCTGTTCTTGACTAAATAGTAGGGTGAAATATGTTGTAGTATGATCTGTTCTTGACTAAATAGTAGGGTGAAATATGTTGTAGTATGATCTGTTCTTGACTAAATAGTAGGGTGAAATATGTTGTAGTATGATCTGTTCTTGACTAAATAGTAGGGTGAAATATGTTGTAGTATGATCTGTTCTTGACTAAATAGTAGGGTGAAATATGTTGTAGTATGATCTGTTCTTGACTAAATAGTAGGGTGAAATATGTTGTAGTATGATCTGTTCTTGACTAAATAGTAGGGTGAAATATGTTGTAGTATGATCTGTTCTTGACTAAATAGTAGGGTGAAATATGTTGTAGTATGATCTGTTCTTGACTAAATAGTAGGGTGAAATATGTTGTAGTGTGATCTTTTCTTGACTAAATAGTAGGGTGAAATATGTTGTAGTATGATCTTTTCATGACTAAATAGTAGGGTGAAATATGTTGTAGTATGATAAGTTCTTGACTAAATAGTAGGGTGAAATATGTTGTAGCATGATCTGTTCTATGAAATAAATATATATTTTTTTACAAGAAAATGTGAGTAGCTTATTTCTATAATCGAGATTATTTATTCTGATTTTGAATATTAATTTTTACACCAATCCCTGGCACACATTCCAAGACACTTACGAGTACATTACTGCCCTAACATCTCCAGAGCTTGGGGCCCTATTTGCTAAACATTAAAATATTATATGGTTTCCACTGGCTTTCACTCTTCCCATTTCCGTCACCTTTAGTGACGCCTCATCCAGTTAATGCTACGATTAACTTCCACAAATCCCTGTTTCTTCAGCGTTTCAAAGCATTACAATTATAGAAAACGTTGGTTTTACGATAATTAGAAGAAATAATGCTTTACTGATGTGTATTATACATTATATCTTTGAAGTTTCTATTTAAAATAACACGTTTCTCCATATCTGAGTAAAATGCTTTATTCTGCAAATGGACAATACGAGGCTTCAATGAACACATCGTACGTAATGACACTTGTATGAGCCCTCTCATTCCTTTAACAGAGTCCTCACATCAACAAAACATTCATTTGAAAACACAAAATCAAATTGAAATGAACAGTTTCCAACTGTGCCGTTTCCGTACCGTTCTTCCAAGGTCACATTAAACATGATGCATTATTTACCAAATACCTATAGATCATGACATAGTCCACTGCTACAGATCACAGAACCACATCAGGGTCACTGAGAAGCTTTAAACCTTGGGTCTCGATGTGATGTTCATTCATATATAGATCACTTCCCCACCGAACTGTCTTGATCTTCACATGTTTACTGTTGTTGCCGTATACTGTAAACGCTACGAAACGAAATCCATCATCTTTGCAATCACACGTAAAAAAAGATGTGTGTGTCATAACTAGCAGTTACAATTTCCCAGCATTCAAATAACTATTAATATTGGTAGATCCGGGCACAGACGATTCCTGACACTCAAGTTATCGTTATTGCAGGCTTTTGTTCTCAGCACTGCGATCTATTGATGTGGGCATTCAGCGTGACATTCATGGGACAACCCATATCTCCACCAGATATTCCAATATTGTTATTTGTATAGGCCATGTCACAGCTGTTTAGTCCCAAAATGGAGGAGAAAATGTGTCTTTTTGTACCAATTTCAGTCTATGTATCTTTTATTTGTAGGTGTTCATTTTTAACAATTGTTTCTCCTATCTCTACATCACCTTAATGGTACACATTAATTGCTTTACTTCCAATCTGTTTTCTGAAAGACATTTTCTCGTGAAATGTGATCCCGAATCCAATTAAAATTTTATGTAGCCATAATATTTTTACAGGAAAGTCATAATACACCAAAGTACTCACATGTTATTCAATGGCTTAATAAGTTTTGTTTTTTGTCTAAAAATTATTCTTCAGGGTCAATCTGCGAAATATCCCAAAACTTTTTAATCAATAAAACAATTAACTCCCCTTGAAATCAAGTCTGGTATATTGCTGAACAACTAATATCATAAACTATTATCCATGAAATATCGTTATGTATAAGCCTGCATATTCAGAGCAATAATCACTAGGACAGAATGGTAATGTATTACAATAAGTCATCTGTAAACTGCCCCATCCCTTATAGTCACCACTTTCCTGATTCTAGTCTGAGCGTCCAATTTCTTTTCTATAAATTACCAATTTACAATATGTCATAACTGTTTTTGGAGAATTTGGAAGGGTTCTACAGTAATTTTTATTTTCCCAAATTACCTGAAGGGTTCTACAGTAATTTTTATTTTCCCAAATTACCTGAAGGGTTCTACAGTAATTTTTATTTTTCCAAATTACTTGAAGGGTTCTACAGTAATTTAATTTTCCCAAATTACTGAGCATCCAAGGCAATAGTTATGTTATACATAGATACATAGATTTATTCTGACAAAATTAGGATTTTACAATCCTGTGACAGCCAGCTCCAAAAAACGTCGGATTCTGTAAAGACAGGTTATACTTCGGATCAATCTTCACTGTATAGTGTCAAAATTTTAATCACCAGACAATTACCTAACCTCATCAACAGTATATTCAATTATCTCCCTTTCTGAACAATCTATTACCTCCCCTGATAAAGCTATACACAATTATCTCCCCTCATCAGAAGCCATACCACAGACCGTTCAGTCGATCACTTGCCAATCTTCCATATATGTACTTAAGGTTTATTCATCGCTGATTGGCGACGTCGGCAGACCGAACATCCACAATGATCCGTCAATGACTGGAGCATTTATAAAGGATTATTTTCGGTCTTTCGCAATGAGTGGCGTTTCACATGGACCAATACGTAGAGATAATCTCCGGACCAAAGGAAAATCTGGCTTCCACTTGATTCTTTATCGGGATAGTTACCGACCATCAAGTAATAACACTTTTGAGTAAATGGTTTGGAAAAACTGATCAAGCACCACACAACATAGGGTTTCCTCCAAGGCCAGTATCGTGTCAGGCTGTGTGTCGAGATGACTTTCATTTGCTCTACAAACCATATCTAAGATATCAACCAAACTAGAGATCCGTTTGTGTGCCATCTTGTTGTTCCCGTATCCTTGGTATTCACTCATGGAGCATGTCTAAGATATCATTCATATCAGATTCTTGCTTGTCAGCAATCTTGTTTGGACGTCATCTATACAATATGTGCAATTTTCCCCAAAACATTCCTTGTACAAAATTTCACAAAACAGCATCTTGCTCTAACAAATTGTTCAAATACCAATCAACACATCATAGATAGCACCGCTTCATTTAGAAGATGCTCCTCAAGTATCTTTTGGGAAGATTCATTGGCTTTTCCATATCATTAGCAGCTATAGTTTTGAATTTCTTTTTAAAGCATCATAATCAAAGAAGACACACCATGGATTATTATTGCAGTACTGAATATTTGCAAACTCTCCCTATTTTCAATCAGTGAATATAATTTTATCACATAATGTACCGAGTGAATATACTCATGGCATATTTTTTTGCGTATTAACCGATGATATATGACCTATCGCAGACTGACGCAGTGGAGTCAAAATGGTGTCTTTTTACATTTCAAGGTTGCATGAAAATTGTCGTTTTACACGAATAAATGCCACAAATCCTGATTATGTGATAAACAGGATCTTACACTCGTTTCATTTCATATGAAATTTATGAGACTCGTCACAAATTTTTCATTTTAGCTTGCCAGAGACTCGCTCAATTGAAAAATTCTAAGACTCCCTTCATAAATCTCATATGAAATGAAAACTCATGTAAGATCCTATATATCTCAACTTATTCCTATATATTCTACAATCTTATGGTTTATATAATTCATCTGAAAGAACAACTGAAAAGATGTCAATCTTAAGTGTTATTTTGGACATACAGAATTTATGGGAGTATGGTACCGTAATCCTTTAATCCTACAGGGATCTCCAAGTGGAACTATTGCATGTTTGTGCATTACTGCTGAGTGTACCATTATACAGGCGTGATTTGTGTAGTCTTTATAATGACAGCAGAGAAAGCACCTCATAGGAAAGGGTCGGTGAATTGTTTTAAACCACTCCAATCTGTTTTTTATTTCTTTTAGCAGATCCCATCCTAATGTCCCTTCAGGGTTAATTTTATCGACTTCATATTAAAAGTTCTGTTTTTTTTTTTAAATTAGACTTCATTTTAGAGTCCTTTTAAAACAAACATTATTAATTTGCCCTGAAATTCAAAACACCATGTAGATATGTCTTTAAGAGTAGCTATTATTTAAACTAGAAATACCAAGCAAAGAGAATATCTGGAGAAATATCTACAACTTATTCAATGTACAAACAGAAGAGAATCGACTCTTCAGAAATGTATTTTACACGTTGGGAGAGGTTGTTTTTTTGATAGACTTCTGCCTTTTCTGTTAGACAGGCATATAAAAACATTAACGAAAATACTTGGAATATTTTCTGATACACGCTTTACATAAATGACTGAATTTTCCTGTTCTTGCGAGCAGATTGGTGTAAAGGTGTCAAATGAGCCCCACTGTGACAATTTTAGCTCCAGAGCCGATAATGACGGTGCTTACCAATTACCTACAATTAGCTACTCTGCACTAGGAGGGAAATGATTGTCCATTAAACATAAGGCCGTAATACTAGGTACTTAAGTCTTACCTTAATGATATCATGTGGCACCAACCACTCTCCTCAATGTCCCTGCTTTCTAAACCTGCAAAAAACACAAAGGCTTCGTTTAACGAGATGACAGACAACAATATTCTGGGCGGATCTGTAAAAACGTATGTGCTCTTTACGGGTGATAATGTTTCATTATCACTTCAGAAAGAAGGAAAAAAATCGAGGCAAGAAGGAATTCTGTGACTGCCTAGTCTGCATGCCATAGGGATAGAGGGATTATCAACACATTGTTAGGTAGAGCAGAGAGTCAGGAAAGTAATCTTAACATGATTAAAATTAGTGTAGAAGTGTTTTGTAATTGTACTTACGTTAAATTTGTTACATTAAATATTCTTAGTTTCATGATGATAATATTCTTATTTCAAATGTAAGTTAAATATTTTATATTTACAGTTGCTATGCACCCTTCCGTTGCAATGCATTGAGAAAGCAAATGTTGTTATCAGACTATAACAACATTCTCTATTGTGACGTCATCAATTTCATTGTTGTCAACACTTAATTTGCTATTTAAAAAATGTTCAAAATATCCAAATAAAGCAGAACTACTCTATCAAAATGTAAATATAAATAATGAATATTATTATGGTCCTATAACACACATTTTGTCATCAATAGCAATGTGTTTTATTGGACCATAGCATTTTCAAAAATATTCATTGCTTAATTAATTATATTTTCACTCACGGCATGCATGAAGATATTTATCCCACTTGTGAAAGATATATGTCAAACATCAAGAAAGAAAAAAAGAATATCTACTAAATAATCTTTAAAAAAAAAAATCTTACGTTAACCAGCATGCACTTATATTTTTCCGTGAGAAGATTTTACTTTAGATCGGACATAAGTGCCACATTATCCAGCTTTAATACTTCACTGTAGGTTTGAGCGGACATCCTCAGCATCTAACTAAAGCGCTAACGATGACATATTGACATCATCCCTACAGCTATCCACAACAAACGGTCATCAAAGTAGATTGGTAATGACAAGGTAATGATACACTCGATTAACTAATTAGGGTTTCCTCCGCGAGAGGGAGATTGACGGACAGGTAAACACCTGAGGAATGACAGCGATCGTAATCAATAAACCACGAACAGGTGAGAGACATACAGGTAAACTTCATGTATTGCAATCAACTCTCCTGCTCTTAATCAATAAAGCACACGATACATCATATCTTACATGTGGATGGTTCCATACAAGATAAACATTCAGCTGAAATACAATGCTATCCACAAACACCCTTGTATGTCTGTATGTTGGTGTCTCAAAGAATGGCAATGATCTACAGTCTGAGAAAGCCACCATATACAGGTTTTATTGACAATGGTATCACAGTGAAAAAAGTCAAGTCTGTAGACAGGTTTAACTGTACACAAAAACAGCCTCCCTTACCTGTGTTCTACCGGTGGAGAAACAAAAACAGCCTCCCTTACCTGTGTTCTACCGTGGAGAAAGTTTACATGGACAGGGTTTACTGTATACAGTGACCATCACAGAATCTGTTAACTGTATTCCATAGGAGGAAAAAGTCATTATAGAGGTTTTATTTTATCAAAACAAAATAACGGAATCCCTTACCAGTTTTGAAAGTCGATCTGTTATTCCTTTACCTGCTTAAAAAGTCGACAAAGTCTTTAAAGACAGGTATATACTACGAATGAAACAGTGACAATAATATCACTACCCATAAAGAAAGTCACTGTCGACAGGTTTTAATGTACACAGTGACAATAACCGCCTCCCTTACCTGTGTTCTACAGATAGATAAAGTAACTGGACACGTTTTACTGTATATAGATCTTGAGCCAGTCATGGAATCCCTTACCGGTGTATTACAGGTAAACCAAGTCTTTATGGACAGGTATACACTACACAGATAACAAAGACAATAATATTACTTCATAGTAAGTCGGTCACTATAGACAGAGTTTACTGTACACTGTCCATCTCAGACACCCTTACCTGTGTTACAGGTAGACAAAGTTTTTAAAGACAGGTATACACTACATATACGACAGTGACAATGTTTTTACTAAATGTAAAATCACTATCGACAGGTGTTACTGTACCTAGTGACCATCCCAGAATACCTTACCTGTGTTCTGAGGGATTTAGTGTCTTCAAAGTCAATCCACACAGGTAAAATCATAAAGTCAATCCACACATCCACACAGGAAAAATCATATCTTCACAAGTTGTGACGTCAAATAGTTCAGGTGAAAGTCCGTCATCAAGACATTGTATCCCCGAAGTGAATCAATGTGTTATACAAAATGTCATCATGATATACAGCATACAATCTGCAGTCTACTTATCAGCAGGGAGCTTGCCTGTTGCAGCATTTACAGATACCACGCTGCTCAAACAAATCTTTACATGGAGGGTAGTCATTGATTTATACTGCCGAACAAGAGAAAGAATTCTATCCTTGTAACAGCTATTTAAGTTTTACAACTTTTCAAACTTCTCAATAGTCGTATACAAATAACTGCTAGCGTCAAACGTACTACAACTATTATTACCTTTCATACCATCCTCACAACAGCTTCCTTAGAGAACGGTAAACCTCTGTCAATTCTTATCGAATTTTCTCTCCACTAGGACACAAAATTTTATCAACTTTTGTGTATCCTCTTGAGAGCTATAAAGCTGTGATCTTTTCACATCTTAATTATCCCTTATGTTGGTTCCTTTTTATAGCAAACCAACTTTTATAACTGTTATGTTTACCTCAAAGGGGTGGTGAAATAAAAAAATATCTGATGTCTGCCTCGTTTTCTTTATTAATTTCAAATTTCACGTTTTCTGTATACACCATAAACAAAGTGTTATCTTTCTATTGAAAATAACACAGTAGGCATAGCATTGGAACCTTCAATTTGCAACCTACACACATTTTTGTGATGAATAAATTGTAATATAAAAATTTCAACTTTAATATTTGAAGTATAATCAATACAAATTTATGTTACAAAGTGAAACAGCAGCAGGTTATTAGCTGCATCCAGAATTTACATACCATACATACTTTATTACAATGTGAACCAAATATGCTTTCACAAATATAAGAGTTCCACTTGTGAATGTTTTAATGATCTAATCTGATACTTTTTCTAACTTCCTTTTAACCAGTACGTTACTTAAGGTACATTTTGTTAATGAAAAATCTTTTTAAACACATTAAATATTTACTCATCGGCAGGAACTCTTCAAAATTGAAAACCACTTAAAGTACACGGCACCTTTCAACCTTTAAGAATATGAACCTGTGTTTTTCTTTACCTTTCTGACACCAAGTCTGTACCATTCTGTGCCCACATTGACAGAAATCACAAGTGTTAGATCCCATATACTCAATGTATGAGTCACCTCTCAGTTATAAAATATTCAATTTTTGTATCCACATCTGCATTCAAATAGATTACACCACTTTATATCCCATTTTTACGACACACACGTAACCTATACTTCAAATTTGAAAAGGTTAAAGGTCACGGAGTAACATTAGAATTTTGAATTTGTTTGAAAATGTTAATACATCCGTATGATTTTGTAATCCATTTCAAAGTTTAAACTGAAATTATTGTGATCAAGATATACGACCTCTCACCTTTCATCTGATATTGTTAAAATGCTAATGGCCGTTCCATCCTACACAACGCTACCCTAAGTATACCTGTGTCGGAGTAATTACCTGGGGCGAGAGTGATCACATCTCTATATCAACACAGGTGAGGTAACTCAACTATTATACAGGGTAGGTCTTGTCAGAATCTATCAACACCAAAATGTCAATTAGTCATGGAAACAGTGAACCATGACCAATACAGAACAACAGTTACCGTGACCAGGTAATCTGAGAACAACCCTTACGGTGACAGGTACACTATAACTACAGAACTGTTACGGTTACTTGGTAACTCACTATAGAACCCCCGTTACCATGACAGGTACACTATAACTACAGAACTGTTACAGTTACTTGGTAACTCACTATAGAACCCCCGTTACCATGACA